AACTTATTTGTAAACTCATTTTCTATTCGATATAATATTGATTCAGTCTGAAACAACGGTACTATTCTCTTCAACATATTTATGTTACTTATTATTTATTCTTATCAGAATCAGATCAGATTAGATCAAATCTAATTCATTCAATCTAGTGGATACCTAATCAGATTCATTTAGATTAGAAAAGTATTTAAAAAATAAAAAATTTAAAAATAATAATAGTAATATCTGACGAGTAGAGAAATAATTGGTAGCTAGGATCACTTGAGAAATATTCTCTTCAATCTTTTTAACCATCCAAATTGATTTTATAGAGACATTGAAAAATGAATGAATACTTATATACGGAGTATTACGGAGTATATGTTTACATTCATTTTTGATATGTTTACATTATTGGTGTTTTTGGTTGTGCGTAAAATAATATTTTTAGGAAGGTTTTGATTCCATTTTCATGTGTTTGGTGAATATTTGTGGAAGGAATTATTTTTCTTTATATTATATGATTGAAGAATAATTTTTCTTGAAACTATTTTTCTTTAGAATTTTTTTTTTTAAAGAAAATATTTTACCCCTACCAAACACAACCTATGTTTGGTTTGTATAATTCAAAAGAAAAGAAAAGAAATTTCTTCTATTTTTACTCACGAATGTACAAAAATGGGAGAAACATAATTTTCCATTCCGCTTTCATTTTCTATTCCGCTATGAGATTGTCTCTAGTTCCCTCCCCATTTCCTGTTTCAGCCTTCAGGCGTGAGGACAGCGAACACCACCCCTGCCCCTTTCGAATGGAACATTTAAAAAATCTTTTTATTTCTCAAAATTATTTTCCATCAATCTTTATAGTAATATTCAAAAAAATCCATTAAAATCAAATTAGATCAAATTAATTAAGATTAGACTAGATGATTACTAGGAGCGAAGATGGGAACCAGATTTGTGCCTAGACATGACCAAACAGAACCATGACCGATTACCCAAACCGAAATATCTGAAATCGAAATGATCTGAAAAATGAATATCCGATCTATAAACGAAAATCCGAAATGATCCAAATCGAACCTAAACCGAACTAAATAATTCATATTCGATTTAAATCCGAAACTGATTACATCCTAACCGATTGAATCCAAAATCGATTAGACCCAAAACCGATAATACTCAAGACCGGTAAAAGCTGAAACCGATTAGATCCGAAACCGATAGTACCCAAACCCAATTAGAATTAAAACTGATAAATTTGGAACTGTGTTTGCCTTTCAATAAGCATATTATATTTTTAAATTTTTACTTTTATTTTATCATTTGAAATAATTACATTACTTGCTTATTTACTCATAAAATCAATTATCATCTTGAAAAAAAGTACAAATTTCATGCCTTAAATTTATTATATTTAAAAACTGAAGATAAGTTATACAAATAAAATTTTGGATGAATAAAGTGAGCCAACTATTTTTTTATTAACAAAATCAAAGGGAATAAAATATTTAAAAAATAAGGTGAAACATCAATTGAAAAAAATTAGATCTAAGAGTTGAAAGTAAATGGATATTGATAAATGAGTTGGATGGTGGCATAAGAAAATTGATAAGATTAAGCAGAAAAAGTGAAAAGGAATGAGAAAAATTTTGAGCATAAGAAAATTGATAAAAAATTAAGTCTTTGATTAGTTATTATATGAAAAATACAATACTAATTTCAATCTTAAATTAAAAAATCTAATTAAAACAATCTTATTTTAGAGAAAACACTCTCTGCATCTTAGAAAAAATGCTACATAACGTAAAACAAATCAAAAATTTTAAGTTTTTAAATTTTATTTTATTTAAAGATTGGTATAGAAAAATAAAAAAATGTCTACATATTTAAGAAAAATATGTCAAAATTTTTACAAAATAAGACGTTACAAGAAAAATAGTTTATTTTATCAAATAATAAATGATAACGCACAAACAAATAAAATTTTCGTAATTTTAAAATAGTGAAGTGTGATATTTTTTTTGGGAAAAAAGAATTGTATAAAATAACTAGATTTTATTCTAATTTCATCCAATTACAATATATTTTATTAGTTTGAGAGTTAATTTGATTAGTTTCAAATCACTTCACTTAATATTAGTCAATAACATTAGTATGTTATTATTTTGAAAAGACTCTCTAGCGACAGCATTTTGTGTAATTATTTTTCAAATTTGATCTACACCATTAGATTTAGGTGTAAAATAAATTATATTCGACTCTATTAAATTTAATTTTATCAAATTTCAACCAAACACACTCAAATAGTTTATAAATTTTGCACTCAATTAAATAAAACTCACTTAATTTTACTCACTCAACTTTTACCAAATTATATTCAAATGGAACATAACACTATTTGAATTTATCTTTTATCTTTTCATTTATAAACATAAATATATTAGTAGATGTGAGAAAAATTTAATATATCAAAACTAAATTTTAAAATCAATTTAATTATATTAAATTTATATCATAATTAAATATATATATTTTAATAATTTGTAGTCCAAATTTGAAAAAAAGGGAAGATTATTTAGGGTAGAGATAATATAATTAGAAAAACATATAAAATAATATGAGGTAGGGAATTCATGATAGATTGATAAATGTGATAGAACATAAAATGAAACATGAATAATTAAATTTTAATTAGAAAATAATATACGCCGTATATCCAAAATCGAAATATAATATTTTTGGTCCGAAATCGAAATATATTCAAACCGAACTAAATCCGAAATCGAAATATATTTCGAACCGAACTAGATCCGAAATTGAAATATATATGATTCAAATTATATCTGAACCGAAATCTATTCGATCCGATTTATAACTGAACAGTTTCTAAACCGAATCGAAACCAAACCGAACCGAAAATATGTATGGAACCGAATTAAATCTGAACCGAAATTAAACCGATCCGAACCGAACCAAATAAATTATAGTATACATCTGAAATCATTGTCATTATATATAATATTTGAGAATTAACCTCCTAGAATGTTGACATGTGGCGTGCTGATTGGGCAGTTTTTTAAAAACTCAACAAAACTTTATTTTGGGTCTTCTTTTCACGATCCATTTTAATTAAGGGACAGAGGTAGTATATAATTATAAAGTCGATATTTAGGTGTTTTAAATTAATGTGAGGAAAAAGAATCATTGGATCACTAATACGTTTTGTATTAATATCTTTTTGAATTTATACAGGGAGAAAAATTATAGATTTGTAGAAATAATACATCAAACCTAGATCATTTATATTTTTTTACTTTTAAATAATATGTCAGATTAAAATCAAGATTCACATTGTAGAATAAAAAAAAATTCGTTCCAACCCGTGCTTGGCACGGGTAGAAATACTAGTATATCCAAATCCAAAAGTCCAAACCAAAATCGAGTCAGTTGACCCGTTTCACAGTTTTGTGCCCTACCCAACCCAAATGTATTTTGGATTACTGGCATTTGCCCACCGTCGTACAAGCTCGTCTTCCCCACCCTCATCCCATCGATGGATGTATCTCCTCTCTTCCTCTTAGACATTGCTAAAGAATTGAAGTATAAGTGCGTGGTTGACAATGGCAGACTCATACTAGCAATAGAAAAAACTGCCGGAGACGAGGATCCGGATTTGGGGCACATTTTCACGACGGGCCCAGTCATGTCATTCCAAGAGTTACAGGATTCGTTTCAAATCCAGATTTCGTCGGCGAATCTTGTTCTGGTGGACAAAAAATACATGGTCTTGAACCCTCCCAGTCATCAAGCACCCATGAACAAGAAAATAGCTGATTCAGTTTTCAAGAAAGTGCTGTGTGAAGCTGGGGAATCAATAGCTCGCAACAAGGCACCATTCGCCGCTCTATGTGGGGTTGGACTGCTAGCTGCTTTGTGCCACAAAGAAATCATCCCCAAAGAAGGTGTTCAGGCATGGGCAACATCAATTCAAGGAAGCGCGAAAATTGTCTCGGATACTGTGAAAGCTTTGAAAGAGGTCGTCAAGATTGTGTGTGAGTCCTAAGAGGCTTGTATTTTTCTTTGTGAAGGCCTTTAAATAACTAATAGGTTTCTTTGTGTTTAATGTTCATACATTTGCCTGTAGTAATTCATAAGTTACCTTGAATTGCCATCAGTTTCTCCCTCGCCTCATCCACTTTCTGATGAATCTTTCTAAATCTGTCCTTGTGCAGTTTTTTAAGGGGTACTTTAAGATTTTTCAGGTTCTGCACTAGTTGATACATACTCCTTTGCTGGGGGTCCTCTTTCCAATTGTCCTGTACTATTTTGGAATACCTTGGGTCTGCCATCCACATGTTGCAAAATCTAAAGACCTTTGTCCTCTTATTAGAATTGCATTCTTTAATCAGCAGGGGGGTGTGATCTGAAACACCTTCTTCCAGTACTTTGGTTTTCACATTATGTTGGTTCATCCAATCAATATTAACTAATGCCCTGTCTAGTTTAGAATAAATCCTATGGCCCTCACCTTGCTTATTTGACCAAGTGAAGTGTGACCCTTCATGAGGTAGTTCCTCCATGCCACACTCCATAACACATTCTTTAAAGTCCTTCATATCCTCTTCTAGCACTGGATTACCTCCCAATCTGTCCTCCATATGCAAAACACAATTAAAATCACCTATACAACACCAGGGCCCATCCATAACCCTAGCATACTCCCTCATCTTATCCCACAACTGTTTCCTCCTGCCTGGGTCATTAAAGGCATAGATTATAGTAATGTAGTCATATTTACTACTATCTATGTTTCTGACTTTAAGGTGGACTGTTTGTGCTGAACTATCCAGAATCTGAACCACCATTTTGTTACCATTCCAGATGACCCAAATCCTTCCTAAAGGGTGGTGATCAATATTGGAGAAACTATTCCATTGAGTGAACAGTTTCTTCTTCACCTCTTCTTCCTTATCTTTCCTAATTTTGGTTTCCAGGATCCCCATCATATTTACCTTATACTTATTTATAATATTTTTAATCTCCCATTGTTTATTGGGGCTATTTAGCCCTCTAATATTCCAGCAGATTATCATTGGAGGAAAGGGTAGTGTCCTTCATAAGGAGCATCCTTCCAAGAGCCTCCTTGCATACTTAACTCATCTATTGTGATTCTCCTTGCAGCCTTCTTACCAGTAACAGTCTGAAATTCAGATTCTCCATCAGATTTCTCCAATGCTTTCTCTTCATCAGTATGGCAGGTTTTATCCTCTCTTTGATTTTCCACATCATTTCCTAGTACTTCTTTCTTTTTCTCGTCCTTGTTTAGTATTCTTTTAGGTCTCCAAACCTCTTTCACATAATGGTTTTCTTGCTTACCATCTTTGTTCCTTCTACATTGATCCCCAATGTGTCCCAATCTGCCACATTTGGAACATATACTGGGCTTCCATTCATATATGACCTCTTGAGTAACAACTCTATTTTCTTTATCAACAAAGTGTATCATATCAGGAAACTCTTGTTGTACTTGGACTTCAATTTGGATCCTGGCATAATTCCATTTGGCCTTAGTTGCTGTTGCCTTATCCCGTTTGATAGGTTTCCCCAAAATGCTCCCCAATTTACCCAATGCTCCAGTATCTCATGTCCAGGTTAGGTAGTTGTACCCAAATAGGAATATCATTCAATTCCAATATGTTTAAATTCAATCCAGGTTTCCATCTCTGCACTAACATGGGCTTGTTATCAAAAAAGTAGTACTTCCTCTAAATGACCTCATCTCTTTCTTCTGCTTTTTGAAATTGGACTATGTATTGCCCTTCATTGTGGAAACTAACATCTTCCACTGCATATTCTTTCCAAATTCTAGTTATAAACCCCTTTACAACTTCAAGTGGGGGGTTTGCACCCAGAATATAACATATAACAGCTTGATCCCAGAGTCCCTCAACATTTATTTCGTCATCTTCAGTAAGTCTGGCTACCTTTTGTCCATTTATTTCCTCAAATTGATAAAAGGAGAGATCTGTTTGTACCTCCTCAGGTCTCAGAACATCAGCGTACGTTTTCTGCTGGTTTCCAGAAGCTTGTTCTTCCATTTCCTTCAGATCGGGGTCCTGTTGTGCAACAGATCTATGGCTTGCTGGTGTCTCTTTCCCTACCTGCGATGATGGATCTCCTCCCTTTGGTGTATTCATTGAGCTGCCTGAGAAATCAATCGCTATTGCAGTATTTGGTTCAGCGTTTTTCTTTGGTCTCCCTTTCTTCTTCTTCTTCCAAAGTGTTTTAAAATAAGCTGATGGACTAAATCAAAGTGGCACATGGTGTTTCCTTTACCTTCTACATTTTATGAAGTTCCAAGCATTATTAAATGAATACAGGGTTGCACACTTCTTGGCCCTCAAGACCTGAAGGGTTAGTAGGTGTTTGGTCTGTAAAATCAACCCACAGTTATGCAACATGACTAGGTGTTTGGTCGATGTACAACTTTTAGAAGTTGGCAAGCTACAACAATTGAATGTATGAGATCATATTTATATTTTAGAATATCTTTGTTAATTTAACTAAATGCATCACATTTTCTAAACTCAGCAGTTTGTTTTATGGTTCTCCATGCTACTTGCCTTATGTGATGGGTATCCTACTTAAACATTTGCCACCCAACACAATTCGGATTTAGGATGATGACAATTCCTTGGTTCTTTTTAATTGAAGGACAATGAAGGTCAGGGTCCATTGCATTACGCAGCTGTATGTGAGAGAAAAGACATTGCAGAAATGCTTGTGAAGAACAATGCTGACATTGGCATGGAGGATGGTGAATGAAGGTCAGAATGCTGACATTGACATTGACATTGGCTTTTACACATTTCCCTGTACTACACTGTGATAATTGGTTTTAGCTGTACATATATATGCAAATATAAATACATATGATGTCTCTCCCTCTCCCTCTTTCTCCCTCTCTCTCTCTCTCTATACATATACAACTGCATCTTATTGCCCCAATGGCCATTGTTCCTTGTTTCTTTTTGAATTTGTATGGCTTCACGCCATGGATGTGCAAAAGATAAATTTGGCATTGTTGGGCAATGATCTGGTTGTGTTCCCTTTTTGTTACTAGCGGATTGTTCTTTTAACCCATTGATGAAGTTGTTTTACAGTCACCCAAAGCCTGTCGCAGACAGAGCTATTTCTTGTCTTAAAATTTGTCATTGAATGTCTATGCCAAGGTTAGAAGCTGGTGGGCAAACATACTGCTAAGAATTGAATGAAAATCGATCTCCCCCTATTCTAGATCTCATATAAACAAGTCTTTTGAAAACTACGTTAATAGATTTGGGAGTTATGATATAACTACACACGACCTGTTGGACTCGACTAAGTCAAACGTAAATGGTATAAACATGTGTTGGTTGTCAAGTTACGCTTGATCGTGTTTGGACAGTTTGCATAAACAGCTCTTAGCACAGCTTGACTCAGCGTGGAAATATTAGTTCCTAAACCCTCAAGAAGGAAAGTCCTTGTTAAATCCATACTAGTGTGTCTTCCTCACTTCCATTTAAAAACTAAAATGTCACCTAGTCTAAATATAGATCTTCCTTCCACTAGGTGAGTAATAAACTTCACAGTATATCTTTCTTAATTGAAATTTCGGCACGTCAAAATATTATGTGTTTGAAATTGATGTATGAACATTTATTATTTTGCATACACTTAGAACATGCAAATTACAAAAAAAGTAGATTTTTTGTGGACTTAAGGTTCATGCTTATTTAATGAACCTTATTGCATATGCAGTATTAAAAAATAGAGTTTTTTATAAAAAAGAAAATGTTCACATACAGACCTATAAGAAATGTGAAAAGATTCATACTTTAAATGTAGATTTTGAGATTATGTAAGCATCACCCTACAAAAAATAGAAGTATATGCACATTAAAAGTTGACAAATTCTTCTCCATGCACATTTTATAAACATTAATGCATTTATAGCACAAAAGAAGTGAATTTTTTGCGGGGAAAAAAAACTACCTACAAGCTCATGAAAAATATGAAAAGGTCTGCATTTTAAATGCAGACCTTGAGACCGTGTAAACATCCTCTTAAAAGTTATGTGATACTTAATGAAAGAAGATAAATGTCTAATTATTTTGATCAAAAGCTAAAATGTTTACTTAAACACATTTCAAGAAAATATAGTTAAATAATTTTCAAAATCACAATATAAATTATAATAAATTAATTTAATATTTTTAATTTATGTGAATTTAACTAAAAGTTAAATATAGGACACAACTTTTTAATAAATTGTGCCTTTAAATTAATTTTTTGTTTTATCGAGATAATAATACTCCGTAATATGGCGTAGTAATAATAATAATAATAATTTATGAAAATAAATCTAAATAATTTTTTCAATTATCGTTGAAACAAATTGAAAGAAACTAGAAATAATTTGAAGAGTGAGAAGAATTAAAATTTAAAAATAATTAGAAGAAATAAAAAAACTAAAGAAATTGAAGTTAATCCTACTATATACAATGCTAGGTGCATTGTGTGAATAGTGTTCCCGCCTAAACTAAAGGCTTTGTGGATCGGGTTTGGGCCAGGCTTTGTAAATGACGGGTTTGGGCTTACTTTGTGATGTGGGACTCAATAAAATTGCTTTATATGTATTTAATTTTAGAGGCTTCATAAAGTTGCATTGGGGAAAAACAAAATTGAGTGGCTCCATAAAATTGCATTGGGGAAAAACAAAATTGAGTGGCTCCATAAAGTAAATTTAGAAAAAAGTAACTTTATGTCAAATCTATCTATTATAAAGATTTTTAATATCTAGTCATTTAATGAATGGTTAAAGGTATCATGAATCCTGTATTATATATATACTCGAGCATAATGATGTGAACTTCTTTCCTAAAAAATAAACTTCTCAAAAATCATCTCAACATTTCCATTTCACATTCAGCATCCAGCTCTCCACATCAATGGCAATGGTGTTTCTTTCTTTACATTATATATATAAATTGTAGTTATGTGTACATATACACATAATATATAATAGAGGCTTAGATTTTTAAATCCGGTTTTAAGTTTGAGGCAATATAAAAAATGAAATCGCCATGGCTGCAACAACGGGGGTTAATTCCGTTACGCCACGCCAAGATACGTTCATTTTCTTCGATCCCTCAAACATTAAAAGCATACGAATCACAGAACCAGTTTTCAGTGTCATGTATCATCACATACATATCGATACATATATGAAAAAGAATATATATATTTTTTAATATGTAATATCTAAGAGTACACGAAATAAGGTTTGAAAAAATTGCAGAGATATCATTTTTATATAGTACTCTGTAATACTTATATCAACAGACCACAAATTAAAAAATAATTAGTGCAAGTGCTACTCTAAAAACAATAAAAATAGGATTAATATGTTAGGAGATTAATAAATTATTCTATATAATTAAATAAACACAAGGGAAATTGTGACGAAGATTAAGAAATAATTCTATAATTAAATAAAGGATTTTTTGATTTACAAATATATGTATTTGTGTATTATAATTAAAAACATCTCGATAGGTAAAATTTATATAGGCTTAGATTTTTTCAAATATGAATATATTTATAAGTATAAATAAATAAATATAAATATATACATACATACATATACATATACATATATATCTCGAAAATTATAAATGTAAATTGTATGATCTATATATGCGTTCTAACACATCTTAATGAAAAAAAAATCAAAACGGAGCCCAGACCATCCAAAAAAACGATGGGAAAAAACAACACATAAAGCCATACATGCATCGACGAAATGAATCGGCGTATATGAAATTCAAATACTTTAATAATCAAAGAGTACCAGAGAGGGAGAGAGGTACGGATGAGCGAGCGACAAAAGAGATGAAGCGGAAGAGGATGGATCGAGAAAGAGAGGGTCGTAGCGGCGGAAATGAAGAGTAGGGTTGGGACGGTTAATTTATATCCTTGGGCCGGAAATATATTTGGGCCGGACAATTCATTGGGCTTATGACTAATATTGTTTCTATAATATATATATATATATATATATATATATATATATATATATATATATATATATATATATATATATATATATATATATATATATATATATATATATATATAAAATACTACTTCCTCCGTCCCACAAAGTTTTACACATTTTGACTAAAGTGGAAATTAAAGAAGCGATAATTTTGTGTTGACTTTCCAAAAATAACCTTGATTTGATGTGTAAAAGTAGGATATGATGTGTAGATAGGGTTTGAAAAAGTAAGGGATAAAAGTGGTTTTTTAATAGAAATTAGTAGAATATTGTGGGATGCAAATTTTTTGAAAGGTGTAAATCTTTTTGGGACGGAAAGAGTATATTGTTTCAATTTTATTTTTTTCATTTCAAACTTTATCAAGCTTGATGGAAAATAGTCAAATATGGACATATAGACAAATACTCAAGCAAGGGGTAGTATATTTATTGGATTAATATTTACTAGGTCGGATAAACATGGATGAATTATATGAACATAATTTACTCCCTCAAACTATAATTAAATTGCATGTTAACTTTTCTCACAGTTAAACTTCAATCACTTTTTTTATTTGATTTTGTAATTTGATTCGATAATATAGTCATTTCCCCATTACTTTTAGAATATGTAATTTTTGTATTTTAGTTCTACATCTTTTTTCATATTAAATGATTTGAAATGAAATTGAGTAAAATGTTGAAAACCAAAAACGGTGATTCAAATATTTATTAAGTTATGATCTATCATATAAATTCATTTTTTAATTTCTCATCCATCCACTTTATTTGAATCCAATTTATTTATATCATACCGAGTGAAATTTACTCATCGTTTCTTTAAAATAATAGTTAAACATTCTTATTGTGCAACACACGGAAAGTGTAAAGATTTCAATTTGCAATAAAGACCTTAATTCCTTCATGTTACCAAATAACGAATAAAGTTTGTAAAAAAACGTTTCGAAACTTATAACACTTCCAAAACTCCCTTTCTTTTTTCTATTTTTTCAATTTATATAATCTTTTCAAGTTTTTGTAACATTTTTCCTTATTCAAAATATTGAGTAATTATATGTCAATTAATAGCCCGTGCATCGCACGGGTACGAGTCTAGTACAAAAGAAGTGTAAAAAATGTAAGCTACCATCTCGATTGCCGTCCGGAGCTATAGTATGGTCCGAGCTCTTTCCTGCAAACTGCAGAAATGGCGTCTCTTCTCTGCTCTCATGCTAACATGTGCTGCGGGTGAATATATTATTTTCCATTCCATTTCTTTTTTAATTTTCTTCCTATGTATTGGGTCTGTGTTTTTTTTTCGTTTCTTTTCAAAATTTATTTATGTGTCATTCAATTTCAGGATAAATACAGTATGCCCAAACACCAATTTTGGAGAATTGCATACAATTAGGTTGTCTTTTTGTAATTTTCTCCCAAGACAAAAGTGCAATGTTAAGCTTTGCTTTCTTCTGAGAACATCCTTTTCTGGGTCTGGTATTGGGACACATATCAGTTCGGATGTTCTAAATGAAGAAACTTCAGAAAGGTATGAATTTTATAGTTGCCCATTTTTCATTCAATATTATCTGGGTAATTCCGCATTTCGTTTTTTATGACAAAGCGGTTGAAAAGGTTGGATCTTTTTATGTATTTGATTGCTATATTATCATTTGTGAGTGAAACTTAATTCTGTCACACGTTTCTTTGTTGATTTTTATATATTTTTGGTTTCCTTGTGAAATTATGAAAAGTTGATTAAATTCTGTCACTATGGAAATTTACAGACCCAGTATTGTACTTTTGGTGCATAATGTACTTCCATATCTCTTATACAGAGTAATTATTTGTTGATGTATGTTCTTATTGTAGGTCTAGAAATATGGGCAAATGCTTACAAAGTGATTCGAGCTGCATTAACGATCTTGAAGAGCAACTGTGTGTTCTCTTTAATGAAGTAAATTCGATGATAAAATCAGGAAATAAAAATGATGCTGTTGATCTACTTAAGGCAAATTATGAAGCTGTTAAAGAACAGATAGATGCCGGTTTCAGGGGTAGAGAAGAGGCCAGGGTTCTTGACACAATAGCATTGGGCCACGTTGCCCTTGGAGACCTAACCACAGCTATTTCCATAATGGACCTGGTAATTTCTTTTGTGCACCAATCCTCTGTGTTTTTTATTTGTTCATTTCCTACTTGTTTTCTTTGTTACCGATGTTGTATTAATATTGGTACTTGGCAGTTGAATGGGATTGTTGAACATTTGAAAAATGATGAACCGCTTTTGGACTCAATACTAATGCATATGGGAAGCGTGTATGATAAATTGGAGAAGCTTGAAATGT